TTTCTTAAAAATTCTAACATTTTTATTTATCTTTTGCAATATTTGAGCAAACTATTATAGTTCAAAACACATTTTAAATTTGCGAACGCAAACGTGGACGTGGTAAATCTCCAAACACGGCCTCCCCATGTACACTTTTAGCTAAAGCCTTGATGCTAGCTGCAATATCCACAGTATTGTCCAGTTCCTAAAAATTACAAATTGTATTATACATTAAAATACCATATATACAATATTAGTTCTTACATCATCGTCAGATTCCTGTATGTATGACCTTTCAATCCGAACTGCATTAGAAATTTCGATTGGTAAGCTTTTACCGAAATTTAGCAAATTTGAATTATCTTGGCGATCTCCATTACTCATTGGTATCGGCATGGAACTATCCAAATCCAAAGCATCTAAAAATAAATGAAATAAAATTCATTAATAATTTAAAAACATCATTTTTATTAAAGGTATATTTAGAAATTTTGTAATCTAAAAATTATAAGTAAAATTACAGAACAACATGGGTTACAGTCATTATTGAATAATGCAGACTTCCAGTCGCCAAATTGGCTGATTGGAGCTCCATCACCCTCATGGGCCCATATCCACCGTAGTGATTATGAACCCATGCCCTCAGTGCATTGCTAGTACATTTACGCGTATCAAATTCTACAGCTTTACATTTGTTCCACTCATTAAGGTTGAACAACACCCAAGCGGTACCAACGTTGCACGTTATTAGTTAGTTTTTTTATCAATCTTTTCACTAAAATTATATAGTAAATATAATATATATTTTTTTTATTGCTTATATATTTTTTCTATATCTTTGTTGGTTTTAAAAATTTTCGCAGATGCAGCTTTAATGCTGACCATAAATAATTTAATGTAGTATTCTTGATGTAATTGCCAAGAGTTCGTAACCTATCATTTTAGTAGGGGTTTAATCGATTCTTTAAATAAACATTTGTTCAGTTCAGAACTGTATATTTTTATTAATCCTCGTTCAAAATTTGAGTTATTTTTTATTTTATATGCTCGTATGTGATTTTGAAAAGTTATTACCACTAAACACTGTCTTGTGGATGAAAAAATAAATGGAGCTTGCATTCTATTCTTTTTTTCTAATATTTCTTAAAAATGTATTATTATATGGTATTTCTAAAATCATTTACTTACCTTCAGCTTCTTCAGCACTGTCACTTTCTTTCAAGTCACTCATGTGATGGTCATGATGTATGCTCAGACTGCGCTGAAATGGTAACTGATGTTGTAATGCAGGATGTTGTGGCGGGTTATTGGAAAAGTAAGACAAATGATTATAACCATTTGTTGATTCTGATATATTATTATCGAAGCCTTCAAGCTCGAAGAAACAATCATCAGTTACGTCCGCAGTTGGTGTGGGAAACTGCTGCTGAAAAGAATGACTGTTCGATAGCCTACCCAATGGCAATAAAAGTGGTTGCTGTTGTTGTGGCCTAAAGGTGGGACTATTACCCACACTCATTGGCATGGCTTCTGGAGTGGCGGGTGGTGTATCAAAATTAGACATTTTTCGTACGGTGGGAAATTGTGGTGCTCCCACCGCTCCCACCGTTGTCATTGTACCAGCCATTACAACTGTAGCACTTCCCTGCTGATTATTCGTCTCTATGGCACTTGTTTTGGTATTAGAAGCTTGCGCAGTTGTAGATAATGCTGATATATTTGATATCGGTGGATTCGGCGTTGTAGGTGTAGTAGGTGCTGTGACATTTAATTCACGTCTACTACCAATAGTATTACGTCGTATTGATGCATAATTTACACCACCAACGGTAATATCTAAAGCAGGTGGAGCGCGATCTAACCACTCATATGCTTGTTGCTCAGATACACGCTGAATAAGACGCGCCAATAAATCATATTCTTGTTCTGATTTCTCGCGGAAACTTTTGAGTAAGGCAAATTGTTGCTCTGTGTATCTGCGAATTCTTTCGTCAGTTTCAGCTATTTCCAGTTTTTGGCGTTGTTGTAAATATTGTTGTAGCTGACGTAAGCGTTGTTGTTTGGTATCAGGCGTTGTATTCATATTAGATTTTAAGGAACCGATTGAAAAATTAATAGGGGGTGTTGTAGGGGTATCTTCATTTTGTGGATGATCTATTATAAGTATACGAAAAGTATCAGAAAATGATTTATCGCTCCGACGTTGTACTATTTCATCGAAGTTAGTTAACAACGTTGAGTTGAGCAGAAATTGTGCTCCAGGACCACCAGCTGTTTGTACTCGTTTCGCACACAGAACCGAGTTGCAGTTGATACAAATACTTATTTGCCAAGACTGCGTACTTTGCGGTTGAGGAATATCCAGCGTTAGGCTGTAGATAAGATCACGTTGACTAATGGTACTAATATTAAGATCTGGAATGGGGCCAATTGACTGCAAAAAAAAAAAAAAATAAATAAATAAATAAACTTATTTTATGGCTGCAACTTTTTTATTTATATAAATATTATATATACTAATTAACTACATCTGAACTAATATTATACACACAATAACTGAATAGTTAGATAAAAAGGTAATTACTGAAATTCTTTTAATTTTACAGAATAAGAATCAATAACAATTAGCTATATATATATATGAGCCGTAATTAATTTTTATTATTTTATTTTGAACATTTTGTGCACACTCGTATGTATTACATATATATAATGTGCAATGTCTCTACATATAATGTAATGTGTTGTCTCTACATAAATAGCATCCTGCCTACCAACAATTGTGCATTACCAAGTCAAAAGCAAATCAGTAGAGTTTAATGGTAATTTTAAATAATAATTCAGTTAGAATTTAATAAATATAAATCTAATGGCTGCTCCTTACTTTAAAAATGGTATAGATATAAATATTTGAAGCTACCTATTTAGAAGACTATCATGTCAGTCTTCTTCGATTTAATAGAATCAAAGAATGGTAATCATGTATCAATATGCCAGCTTATTTAGAATATTTTTAACCTATCAAATAAATGTATTTGATAGGTAATTCTTTAAGAAAAAACACTATAATACAAATTATATGTAGTATAGGAATCAAAGGAATCATTGCTTATATCTCTTAAAGTTGTCGTGTAGATACCTGAATACCTGACTGTTCTAGAAATAAATTGGATATTCAAATAAATATGGCAAGAGTTTAATAAATTTTGTGTTATAGAATTAAAAAAAAAACAAAGTAATAAAACTGATATCTTCTCACAGAGCATTAATATTAAATTATTAAAATAAAAAATAAAAATAAATTGAAATCGCTAACATTTAAACTACATATGTGGTTGTTAATAATATCACTTTAGCCGGTATTGTGTAACTAAGGGGTTAAAATTACCCATCCTTTGCAAGTAGTAAAAGTGCACACGTAATCCATACGTAAACATTTTTTAATAAATATTTTTTCCCAACGTCAACTTTGTTTTTATTAAGTTACGATGATTTAAGTGGTTGCACATAAAATAAATGAAGCTTTTTTATCTAATCTATAATAATAAAATAATTAGTAACTATTTACTTATTTCATACATAAGAGCTTGTAAAATTGAAAACAAAGTAATTTACTGATTAACTCAGTTCAATGACTGCTGTGGTAACTTTGAAGCGATTTTATTGGTTTTACCAATAGCAGGAAAAAGAGAATGCAGAACGCAGATATGAACAAATTTTAACAAGGTATACTAAGGTCATATGCTTTATTTCAAAATAAATTATATATTATCTTAAGTTTTCATATACTTTGTAATACCAGAGAGTGTAGAAAGTTATATGATAACGTTACCTTATATTCAGATTTATTAAATCTACTGCAACTGCTTACAGTTAAAGCAAACTTTTTTTACATATTAAAATGGGCGGGTAAAAAATAAACTAAAAATTTTTGAGCTGAGACAGTTTTCATTTCCTTACGACATTACAACCACAGTCATCTAACCTAACTCTGATTGCATAATTCATCAAATCGGAAATTGCCGATGATGAGTGATTCCGGACAAGATCCTATTACTCTTAGACCTCCTTAACTTTTAAAAAGTTTAATTATTACATTTATATTATAATATAGTGCTTCATACAGAAAAATAATGTAATAGCTTTTATTCATTAAGTTGAAGTTAGCATTTTATTTCTTTATATATTAATAAATAAATAATATTTTATTATATAACTACAAATATTCTAGCGAATTTATAAAATAATTGATATAAAATTCAGTTAAAACATATACAATTTATGTGTTAGCAAATCTGTAAACTATGGAACCATGCTAGAAGATAAGGTCTCCCTTTCAATCAAATCTGTTGCAGCTGTGGCTCTGCCTCTGATCTATGTTTTTGCCCCGCTCATGCACGGCGGCGACTCAACACTTTAGTAGCCCCTCCTTCTTAAGGATCTTGATCAATTTCTACATCTGACACTCAATAGCATTTTAGGCCAAAGGTTCTAGGTAGTTTTAAACCCTGAATTTTTCTACATACACGATAACACAATAGTCCAATAGGCCTACGCGGATCCACTAGGAATTGCCGGTATAAGCTAAACTAACCTATGCAGTATCATTATCAATTATTTAAAATTGTACTATTATATTATTTGCTATTTGAAAATGTGTACATATTTGAGTTGCTGGAACAAAAATTGAATAATTGGATCAAGTTTTCGAAAACTTAATATGATGCAAAATATTTCATTTATTATAAAACTAGATGTAAATCATGTATGTACTCGTATATTTATTCACTTTTTTAGTAATTTTATGAAAAATCTAAATCTTCCAAATTGTTCCTATCTATCTAACTAAACACAAAATCATACAATGCAGAAAAGTTTGCTATTGATTTTTCAACATATTTTAATTTTTATTTAATTTTTGTCTATATAAATATTTTTTACTCTATAATATATTTAATTACACATAACTATTAGATTCCTGGTTTCGACCAAAGGCAGCAATATAATATGCATACATATTTATGGATATGTATAGTATATTAACCAGAGGTAAAAAGAAGGTACATGGAAAGTATACAGCATCATGCATTGATAATATTTTAATTTAATACAAAAAATACTTTTAAGTCTGATATTATTCACAGCCTTGATCCAATTAATTTTTTAAGCATTTGTTCTATTTTTCTGATTTTTTATTGTTCATAATAAAAACACGAACAAACTAAATATTGTATTTTATAAACAATAAATTAAATTTTATTTTTTTTGTTTTTTGCAACAATTCAAGCGTCATCAACGTCCATGTGTCCCCTACATAGAACCATAGAATCCCCAAAGATATGTTTTAAATTATTTTATCGCAAAAACAAAAAAAAAAAAAAACAAAAAAACACAAACGAACATTTGTGTACCAGAAATGTATCTCAATACAGCTAAATATCAGCAAGAAAAACTAAAATTATTTAAACAAATCGCGTCGTTCATTTGCTTAGCACGTGCTCAATGCCTGACAGTAGCCGAGCTGACAAAATTAACACCGCAATTGTAGTTAGCCACAACCAAAAAAACCAAAAATTGTATCTAAATAAACAATAAAAAATGATTGCATTCATTACAATGTTACTGGCGTCGGCAGAAAATTTTGTAAACTGACAATCCGTGCGAGTATCACTGACGAACGAATAGAAATACTTGCGCAAGCAACGCGATCTGATCTGATTGCAATCCAAGCACCCAACAATGTTTTGCATTACCAAAACCATCGCAGTGACCGAAGCATAACATACGAGTATAGTACAAGTGTCTCTGGTAAATGGGGTGCGAAAGTCGAAATGCTAATCCAACTAAAACTGAATTCTTCTGAATTCTATTAAATATTTCATTTCAATTAAATAACATACCTACATATGTACATATATACGAGCACATCTTTTATATATTAATATACATGTTCAACATGTAAATGTATTAAATAAGGTAATAGCGAGTATAATTTTTCTACTAATAAATTAATAATTAGATTTCGTTATACGCTTTTTATAAAATATCTATATGTATTGATAACAACTCAAAGCACACACATGTAGTTTTGTCAGAAATTGTATCAAAAATGGCATACAATAAACATAAAATCATATCTGCAGATTCAACTTTTTTTATCACTTTTTATCTCTATCACTGATATTTGCAACTAATGCTCACTTTATATATGTATATTTTTTGGCCCAAGTTTGAACAAAAGTTGGTTGTGTTATTTCTTGGTACTTGTCGATGACTATTGCTTCACATGTTCCATAGCTCATACCTCAGCCTGTCGACAAATAATCACTCTACTCGGAAGCGAATTAATATACAATATAAAGTAAAGCAATATTATAATTAGTATAAGTTATTCATGGCACTACGTCCATTAATGAACTACTGTATACTGCAGTATTCATATTACCGAATAATTTCTAAAACTTTAGCTATGCCCGGTGGTAAAGTATTAATCTTTTCCAAAACGATGTTTGACCACTCTGATTTGTGAATCAATGCTTTGTGGAAAATTCTTTTCCTATATAAGTGAAGTTCATCTTTTATAAGAGCAGGAAATTCTCGAAGAATTTCTTTCGTTGGAATTGCATTCGTTGGTTGTCGAAAGTCCCAACTGTACTACTGCTTATTTAAAAGACAGTTATCGGTTATCACTTTAATCATTGTTTTCAAATTCGATCTTTTTAGATTTATGAGAAATTTGCTCTTCTTCTCTGAGTAGTTCGATTTCAATTAGATCACTGATAGGGTTAGCAGACACACATATCACAAACAGCAACTACTTTTGCTTGGTATTGTAGTTATTGGATTCGCTTTAAGGTGCATTCAAGAATCTTTGCAGGTACGCAATTGTTCGTTTGGGTTTGGGTGTATGTTTACGTGAGTATTTCACTGGAACTTTATCATTAACGTGTTATTCAGATCTTATTCTATCAGATTTTACTTTTGTATTTAGTTAGTAAGTTGTTTCGCTGTTTAAATTATTTCTATATTTTCAAACTTTTTCTATTAAATCTACTTTAATCTATATAATCTATATTTATATTCCTTTTCATTGAAGTTATGTGATCATAAGCTTGGAAAGGTACTTTAACCCTGTAATTTTTAAGAGAATGCAATCCAGGAGAAAGATGTCAACAAAAATGTATAAAAAGCCAATAAGTGGTACTTTCGTACAGTAATGAATTTATAATTCGTATGCCGAAAGACTGAACTAATAAATTCCATGGAATGAAGCAGCTATAGACATACGTGTACTTCATTAAGTAGTATTATTAAATAGTACGAAGTATATTATTTGTTAATACCAACAATTAATACTCATATAATATTTTGAGCAATGCATATCTATATGTATATCCAAAGATATAGAAGATACAGTACAGAATATACGTTAATGTATTAGGC